CACCGAGGAAACCAGATCTGAAAGAGACACGTGCACCCCAATGTTCATCGCAGCACTGTTTATAATAGCCAGGACATGGAAGCAACCTAGATGCCCATCAGCAGACGAATGGATAAGGAAGCTGTGGTACATATACACCATGGAATATTACTCAGCCATTAAAAAGAATTCATTTGAATCAGTTCTAATGAGATGGATGAAACTGGAGCCCATTATACAGAGCGAAGTAAGCCAGAAAGATAAAGACCATTACAGTATACTAACACATATATACGGAATTTATAAAGATGGTAACGATAACCCTGTATGCGAGACAGCAAAAGAGACACAGATGTATAGAACAGTCTTTTGGACTCTGTGGGAGAGGGCGAGGGTGGGATGATTGGGAGAATGGCATTGAATGAAACATGTATATTATCATATGTGAAATGATTTGCCAGTCCAGGTTGGATGCATGAGACAGGGTGCTCTGGGCTGGTGCACTGGGATGACCCAGGGGGATGGGATGGGGAGGGAGGGGGGAGGGGGGTTCAGGATGGGGAACACATGTATACCTGTGGCGGACTCACGTCAATGTATGGCAAAACCACTACAATATTGTAAAATAATTAGCCTACAATTAAAATAAATAAATTTATATTTTAAAAAAAGGAAAAAAAGAGAGAAAAAATAAATTAAAAAAATAAATAGAAAAATAAAAATGAAGTCTGGGCTTTATCCTATAGTACTAGTGGAGCTATTCAAGGTTTACACAAGGGAATAGTATGTTCAAATACATTCAGATTTGAACTTTTAAAAAAGTAACTGTCATTGAATATTTTTTTAAATGTAGAAGAATGAATACACTCACATGCACAAAGGGGAATAAACCATAATTCATGTGAAAAATGAGGAGAAACTGAAATAAGTAAGGTAGCTAAAATAAGAATTGAGTCAAGATAATTTCAAATACATAGTCAAGGGGGCTTGGTGATTAATTAATTACAAGTCATCTGCAAAGCTAGGTAATCCTAACTTTGATCACCAGACAAACAGAAACGCTATGCATGGAGATAAGAAAAACAGAGAGAGGAAGCTTTTGCTGGGTAGAAGAACTGGAAAACACAGGTGTGCATTACAGGCCCTCCCGTTAATGCAAGAGCATTGATTCCAACAGCTGTAGCTTCTCTTTTTTTCAGTGCGTCCTTTTTTTAAAAAAAACTATTTATTTTAATTAGAGGATAATTACTTTACAATATTGTGATGGTATTTGCCATACATAAATATGAACTGGCCATAGGTATACCTGTGTCCCTTCCGTCCTGAAGCCCCCACCTGCTTCCCTCCCTACTCTATCCCTCCAGGATGTCACCGAGCACCGGCTTTGGGTGCCCTTACTGTTTGGTTCAGGCATATAAACCAACTCCCTCTCCCAGCTAACTTAATATTCAAGTTCCTTCTTGTTTGCTCTGTGGGTTCTGTACACTGATACATGCTTTTCTATTTGACTATTTGTTCTTCCTTAGTACTATCTAGTCTGGTTTTCAACTGGATATTCCATTCACACTTGGATTTGCTTTTCAGCTCACTCTTCAGGTTTAGTAACCAGGTCTGTTACTGCTCTGTTTGGGGCTTGACCCATGTGTCCTGAGGACTCTGCTCCATGGCTCAAAATAGACAGTGCAAATATAGATAAACACAGTCTAGTCTCGCCCCTATTCTAGATTCTTGCTCAGTTTAGTGAACAATCTGTCTAGCTTCTATCAGGAAACAGGTATGGACAATAAATTCATTTTGGACATTGAGTTTGAGATCCTTGTGAACAACCAGGTGGAGAGATACAGAAAGCAGCTGGAAAAAATGAGCTTGGGGCTCAAGAAAGAGACCCTAAGAGATACAGATTTATGATAATCAGCAAATACACTGTAATCAAAGTTACACGAGTGAATGAGTTTTTCAAGGAGACTATAAAACAGAAGTTCTTACTCTGATGGGCTTTAGAGGCATCTATGAATCCATTAAAATTGTAGAATAAAATTCTCTCTATATATATGTTGTCTTATTTCTCAGACAGGGACCCATAGTTTTATCAGATCTCAAAGGTCTATAAATCTAAAAAGATTAAAAACCCATGGGCAAGGAGATTGCTAGAACATAACATGGGGAGGGAGACTACTGGAAAGTAACCTAGAGGGCGCTATTTACTGAAATGTGCTACAATTTTGGGATTAGAGACCTCAGTGATGGGAAAGGACATGGAATATGTTAGCATTTCATTTCCAATTTACCATCTGAGTCACAGCAGCCATGAAGCACATGATTTTCTATCCAAAATTGAGCAACATGTCTCCAAAATACACTGACTCAGACACCAATACTTCTAGACTATCCAAAGTTGTATGAAAAACATAATTTTTAGGCCTAGAACTTTGGATTCTGTATTACCAGCCAAAACGTGAATTTTTCCCTACTCCCATCCCATAAATAAAGGGCACAATATCCCCAGCCATCTTCTTTCTCTGGAGTCAATCTCATGTCACAGCTGACAAGTGAAGATCAATTTTTAAGCATTACGTTATGAAACTTCATGATCATCAGTGCTGGATATATTAGCATCTGAGCTTTTACAGAAAAAAGCCTTGAAAATATATAGCTTTGAAAAACTCCACAAAACAAGGATGTTGGCTTGTATGCTTTATCACAAAAAGCTCAAAAATGCAACAATGGTTCACACTTTATCTTGTTTCTCCCAAAATTACTTGTTACTTTAGAGATAGACAGGATTGGGGAGGGAGGTTTTTTCCAGTGTATACTTTGAAACTCTTCAAAAGCCACAAAAGTGTATGAAACAAACTGTCTAGTCACAAGGATTCAAACCACAGCATTCTTCCCTACTTAACCACTCAAGCAAGCCAAAAACAGTCTAACCAGCCAACTCACATGTAGGAAAACTATAATATCTACTGCTTGGGAAACCTCTAAATATCATTTATACATGTACCTTGGTTTATAAAAACCATTTTAATATGTACAAAAGCAAAAGCTATGAATTACCAATTACCAAGAGATTAAAAAGGACTATGATAATGGATGCTGGACTGTCTTTAGCAGAACATAATTAACAAAACTTTAACACACATAAAATTTTTTTTAAACTTAGGAAATAGTTTCATAAAAGAATATATGCATGTAGGTAGTAACTGGAAATGTTCGATTATATTAATCAATGAAGCCTATTAAAATTAGCAAAAATCTATAAAATAAAATCACCTCTATTACCCTGGTAGTTCAAAAGATTTTTAAAAATTTATCAACATATATCATACACCTTAAAATTTTAGATACTCTGACATAGTTTAATTCCACTCTCATTATTCTAACCTTTAAAAAAAGAACCCAGTAAAATGCAGTATGCGCAAAGATGTTTATTGCAGCACTGTTTGCCAAAGAGAAAATTGTAAACAACAAAAGAAAAACAGTGAAATGAATTATATAACATAAACTAGGGAAAACTCATTCATCCATTCACTTACTACTTTGTTTCAAAAGGATTTAAAGTGGTTTATATAATGATTTATTTATACAACCATGAAAAATCATGTTAAAAAACATGTGCACAATGAGAAAATGCTCATGAATACTTAGTGAAAAGGGTGGGATACAAGATTTTGTGTGTGCAAAATTGTTTAACATGTACAGAAGAAAGGGAAATTCATCAAAATACTAACAATGGCATTTGTCTGGGTGCTAACATTATAGGTGAATTTTTTCCTATCTTTATAATTTTATAAATTTTATAAACTGAGCTTATAATTTTATAATAATGCTTATATATATGAAAAATATTAAAAGGATAAAGATAATTTTAAAACTAAAAATATCTGCCTCCTTATATGATGGTTTATAAGAAAACAGCTCTTTCCAAATAGCCACTAATGACTTGAAAAAAGAAAACAAAAGTAACATCTAAGAGTAAAAAATCCACATGGAAATCAGCCTCATGAAATATAAGTTAGTCAACTAAAAGTATCAAAAGGAGGATAGAATAAAAAGATGATATAAGACTGTGGGGAGGGGAGAACACTGCATAAAAAGAGAATACCAGAAAAAGGCAAGAAATTTTAATCTGGATAATCAAATAGCCTATCAGTGACTTACACTAACATGGTTGTCTTATTTAAACTGTAGTTTCAAAAAAGACTAAATCTAGAGATTGAAAGTAGAACTATGGTTGCCAGGGGCTGGAGAAAGGGGGAATGTGTAATGAGTATGTAGTCTCAAATTGGAAAGATGAAAAAAGTATGAGATGGATGGTGGTGACAGCCATACAACAATGCAAATGTACTGAACTGTATAAATTGTTAAAATGGTAAATCTTGTTATTTGAATTTTGCCACAATAAAAAAATACATTAAGATCAGATCTGAAATAGATTATAGAGGTAAGGTATATATTAAGATTTTTTGAATTTTGAACTTTCCTCAAATAAGATTATAAAGATGTGAGCATAATTTATTAAAAGATATAGTTGTAGTAACACTTTACTAGCAACTTTCTCTCAATCAGAGGGTAGTTTATTGTACCTGTTTATAATAATTCTTCTCATGTAGTCAATGCTCAGTTTTCAAATGCCAAGAAATCATGCCTCATCTAACCAAAGTAAAGCAGCCATTAGATTCAGAGTAAAAAGAAACTATAAGTGAGGTCACTAACAATTCTGGTGTTTAGGCCAGTTTATGATAATCAGCTAATAGAATAAATCTCTCCAACAGTAAGCCCTATTTTTAGAAAATGGGAAAAGAGAGATTGAAGAATTGTCCCCACAGTCCCTGGAAAGAGCCACAGTTATCCTTAAAATTCAGTGGAAGATTTCTGACAATGAAGCATTTTACAAAGAGGATTTTTCTAATTTAAAATAATTTTCTGGTCATAAAAAAAGCAAGAAATAAAACAAGAAAAAACTTTTCCAGATCCAAATTCCATACCCAGTTTTCTCAATTCACTTTCAAGTCCTCACTTACCCTTCTGGTGTTTTCAAGAATTTTGGGATCAGGTTTTCCATAGTTAGGTGGATTGGCATATGGGTCATATCCAAGTTTGGCAAGCATGGGTGCAATCACTGCCATGTCTTGTAAAACATCTGAAGGTATCTTCCCAACCCATTTTGATAGAGCTCCCATATTGACTGGCTTGATGACTTGGTCTGTAGATCTCTCCACTCTGAAAACAATATAATGTGAATAAATATGTATTTAGAATATCAAAAACAGTACTGGAAATTATTTTTGATGACTTTAAAAATTATAAGTCTCTGGATTACAAAGCTATTGAAAAAGAGCACATTTTTCAGGCTTAACATTATTTACTAGACATTTTTTTTAATGTTCTCAATTTGACAGCAATTATTGGCAATCTCAGATTTCTAGAAATAGGAAAAAGGGTCAGCTGAAAACATCTGCAAAAAATGTATTATTGACACTTTAATTACAACACTCAGAAAAAAATAACATAAGATCCTCAGAAAAACAGCTGATCAACTTACTTGAAATAAATTTAAAAAACACAGGTAAATAAGATGGCTTGATTGAAAGATGACCAAAGGGACAGAAAGATGGACATTTTATGTGAAAAAGTAAATACAGCAAAATGTTAATTGTAGCTAGTGGATATAATTCTTTCAGTTTTTTTGTATGTTTGAAATTTTTCATAATAAAATATGAGGGGGAAAATAGTCAACCACTATCCACTAACAATGCAAATGATTCCTATGTCTTATTTTTCTGTTGATTTCCTAAAGAACTCTATTTTATAAGGAAGAAAAGTGCTTTTATGACTTTTACTATTACAAAATAAATGCGTTCTAACTCTTGACCTAGAAATTTACTTTAAGCCCATAGTGATACTATGTTTGACCAAAAACTCATAATATTAATGCAAAATATAATATAAAAAGACATCTGTATTTAAATTGTATCTGAACTAGGAGATTTTGGCCTAATGACTATCAAACAATAGTGGCCAAAAAAAAAAGCCTAAAAGAGTTTTATATTAATATCATAATACATTAGAAGTCATTCAAACACAGTATTCTAATAAATGGTTAAAAAAAACCTTTTCCTTTAAGTTTTCAAACTCTCACTGAAGATAAACATCATCTAATGAAGAATCCCTCAAAGGGGCTACACTCCTTCAAAAATACACAAGAGAAAATAAAATGATTCTTCCCTGGGATTCTGTGAGGCTACTAGATCCAGGTTTCCTCCCTGTCTTGACGGCCACCTTCTCTTTTCTCTCTCAGAAATTTCTCCAGGACTCCACTGCTCTCTTCACTCTATATATTTTCCCGGTATGGCTTCACCTCTATGATCTTTTCTTGATTTTTTTTTTACCTGAGTGAAGAACATCCTAGTATGTTAGGACAGGTCCAATTTTTATCAATTGCCCCAAGCTTAATAATGAACAGCACATGACACTCACACCCATAAATATCCAAGTTTGTATGATATATTATACGGTCACCCTACCCACATACCCTGCACACACCCAAACACTAAGACGGTCCAAAACTGGACCCCTCATCTTCTGTTCAAAATCTACTCCTCTTCATGTACACCTTATCTTTTTTTTTTCCATTTATTTTTATTAGTTGGAGGCTAATTACTTTACAATATGGTAGTGGTTTTTGCCATACATTGACATGAATCAGCCATGGATTACATGTGTTCCCCATCCCGATCCCCCCTCCCGCCTCCCTCTCCATCCCATCCTTCTGGGTCTTCCCAGTGCACAGCATTGAAACAAGTATACTATCAACGGTGAAACAGATCACCAGCCCAGGTTGGATGCATGAGACATGCACACCTTATCTTGATAAATGGCACCACCACCTGTCTAAAAAGCAAACCCAGAGATCTCAGAAGGGACAGGGAGAAAGCAAGATCACTCCCAAATTATTCCAAGTGCTGGAGGCTCTATCTTTGAATAGGAAAATCTCTCTCTCTAGTCTTACCGCCACTAACCTTAGTTCATGTCACTATCATTTCTCACCCAGATTGCTAGAAAAGCCTCCTAATTTTCCTGCATTTAAGTAGCTGGCTTCCTTGTCCAGTTATCTTATCCTTCTACCAGACTATAATGCAGGGCAATGTTTTATTAAAAAGGGCTTCCCAGGTGGCTCAGTGGTAAAGAATCCGCTTGCCAAAGAAGAAAAGCAGGAGACGTCGGTTGGATCCCTGGGTAGGGAAGGTCCCCTAGAGGAGGAATTAGCAACCCACTCCAACCCACTGGGGATAATCCCACGGACAGAGAAACCTGGTGGGCTACAGTCCATTGGGTCACAGAGCTGGACACAACTGAGCGACAATGAACACATATGCACACAATGGTGTAAATACTCCCACTATGGCTAATTTCAAGCTACCAACATAATATCATCAACCACAGAGTTGAGAAGAGATGCACAAAAAAGGTTGCTCTATGCTGGGAAAGATTGAAGGTGGGAGGAGAAGGGGACAAAAGAGGACAAGATGGTTGTTGGATGGAATCACCGACTCAATGGACATGAATTTGAGCAAGCTCCAGGACAGAGAAGCCTGGCGTGCTACAGCCCATGGGGTCGCAAAGAGGTAGACATGACTCAGCGACTGAACAACAAACAGCTGAGGCAATCCAGCTCCAATAGACCACTGGGTATACAGGGCCACAGTCTCTTATCCAAAATTCTGAAATCCAAAAAGTTCCCCAAACATTTTCCTGTAACTCATATGGCAGCAAAACATAACCTGAACTGGTAATAATCTATTTATAGTATTTATTCCTCTTGGTGTAAACAATTAAGTCTTTGATGCAGAAATATGTACTTGATTACAGAGTGCTGACCCAGAACGCACAGAGGATGTTATGTGTTATGTACATCATACGACTTTCTAGAGTCCAAAAACTTCTGAATTCTAAAACACATCTGTGTTAACCAATGAAGTCGTACATAGGGTCTTGTATGTCGTGACTGGGAAGTTGGCTTTATCTTGAAAATAATGGAGAATGATAGAAGGGTTTTTATTACCTAACTGACAAGACCAGATTTTATTACAGAACTGACAAGACCAGATCATTCTTATCTGCATTCAATATTGATAACTATGGGAAGAGCAGATTGAAGGAAGGGGTAACTGCAGTCAGAAAAACCAGTGAAGACGTTCAACTATATATTGAAAGAACTGAGAAATTATTAAAGCTTCAACTACTGTAAATGACATAGAGATGGAAAGAAAAAAATCTGCATAGATTTTTTAAACTGATAAGACAGTGGCCAATTAGATATGGGGAGGAGAGAAAGGAGTCTAGATGAATTCATATTTGACTTGAAGGAATGAATGTACAATAGTATCATTCCTTACAACAGACAACATAGAGGAAAAGTTAAGTATTACTGCTTAGTTTCATTTCAGATGTAGGAAACAAAGGAGAAAAGGTAAATTTTTTAGTAGTCACGAAGTTTCCAAAAGTCTAAAGGAAACCTAGAGCTGACTCAGACTGAAATGTAGTATGCATTCAGTAAAAAACAGCTATTATTATTTTTGTATCCAGATTGTAGCACTGAATCAGAAGAAAAGTGAAAGTCATTATTTATTATGATTACATAAATGATTTACAGATAAAGTTCAACCATCTCGTGTCTGACAGACAGAATTCTAAAATGAAAAGGCTTTTTGTTATGTAACCACTGAGTCACAAGCTCCATTAGTAATGAATGCAGTTGCTGTGACTTCTTAAGGAGAAGAACTTGGGAAGTTGCATAGTGATCAGGTGTTTCTCTTTAAGGGAGCAGCCAGGAGAGATAAGAAAGTCTTTCTCAGCAATCAATGCAAAGAAATAGAGGAAAACAACAGAATGGGAAAGACTAGAGATCTCTTCAAGAAAATTCGAGATACCAAGGGAACATTTCACGCAAACATGGGTTTGATAAAGGACAGAAATGGTATGGACCTAACAGAAGCAAAAGATATTAAGAAGAGGTAGCAAGAATACACAGAAGAACTTTACAAAAAAGATCTTCACGACCCAGATAATCGTAACAGTGTGATCACTCACCTAGAGCCAGACATCCTGGAATGTGAAGTCAAGTGGGCCTTAGAAAGCATCACTACGAACAAAGCTAGTGGATGTGATGGAATTCCAGTTGAGCTATTTCAAATCCTGAAAGATGATGCTGTGAAACTGCTGCACTCAATATGCCAGCAAACTTGGAAAACTCAGCAGTGGCCATGGGACTGGAAAAGGTCAGTTTTCATTCCAATCCCAAAGAAAGGCAAT